AAATTTATTATCTCTATTAGAGCATCTAGGAACCCTAATCATGGCCCTAAATCCCATTACAATAGGCATTGTACAGAGTAAAGAGATAGTTCCCTTCCCCATAGAGCATACTGTCTGAGTAAGGAAGAGGAGAGGAAGATCCCTGCAAATGAGAGGTCAGGGTGACAGGAGTGGGAGTGAAGGAAAGTACTGAGACTATGTGTGGGGGAACTGGATCCAAGCTGGGAAGAAGGTGTCAGGGTTTCCCATCAGCCTCTACTAATCCCTTTACCGGCCTTAATGCAAGCCTCTCTATGCCCCACAGCCACTCACCTCCATACCGATTGCCCAGAGGTGTACAAGTTCATACAGAGCTCCCACAGTATTTCCATTTTGGGGATGCTATCCCACACTCAACTCCACAGCGGTGCTACCCCAATCAGAGGATAAAACAAAAGACTACAGATAGATGGGGGATTTAAAGGAACCAATGACTATGCACATGAGTATTTGCACCATGAGAGACTTCATTGCTAATTTTTATTTGATCAAAAAGTTTAGTTCCTAATTCTAACCGGATGGCCAGACCTCAGAACCCAAGCACAACCTCACCTCACACCATTCTCAGTGCAGGACAACGGCCTTAGTTTGTTCTGGGGTTCACTTCTGCCTATCTGCTGCAGAACCTAGTGTTGCGCTATGTATTTTGTATGTGAGTTTCCAGTGATGATAGTTGCACATTGTGATGGGACATTCCATATTCTTTAGAGGACTATGCTTATGAAGATGAAAGTGATATAACTGGACTATACTTTATGTGAGATAATTCATATGAGATAATTCATTGGAAAGGTTGTAATCTAGTGAATATGATTATGCCGTTTGTATGCATTTATCATCCCTGTATTTGAAATTAGAAATATGAAGACTAAACCTATGTCACTAATGTAGTTATGCTAAGTGAGGACCATTGGTAATAATCAATGGCCCACTACTCAGGACAATGAACTGTGAATTGACTTATTTTTCCTCTAAGCCTGGGAGGAGGATGTATGAGGGCTCCTACCAAGACATGTGGCCATGTCATCTGATGCTGGGATCCATCCTGGATGCTGTATTTTGCAAGATCAAAGGGAAAGTTTATACTGAACACAAAGGATTTCCACCTTATGCAAAACCTATTTAAGGGCAGGGGAGTAAGGTAATCTTGGGTCATCAATTCTTCCAGATTGCATCACCCAACATGATTACAGGAAACATCTCACACTGAACTGGAGGAATGATTGGGCCCAGGCTACAAAGCTTTCCAGTCTGTGAAAAAAGCTGAGTAGATCAACTTTGAGAGTGATCTATTACTGGTAAACAGTTTCTTAGTGCATTAAAAATATCTCGCGTGTTCTGTTTTATTTTTTGCATTGTTCTGTCTGAAATCTCTTATGACCACTTAAATCCTACCTTTTATACTTCATAAAATCACATTTGTTTATTACTAAATCCAAAATAAATAATTGTTTCCTGGGTGGGGGCAAGGAGTCTGTACATCTCTCTCTTTACATTGAGAAAGAGGGTGAATTTCATGAGCTTTATATTGTACAGATCACTCTGCAGCATAAGACTGATTTTTCTGGGGCTTTGGCCTCCAGTGGGGCTGGGGAGCTACATACTGGAGACAGATATCTTGCTGTGCTGTTAACAGTTAAAGTCTTCAGCCATGGGGGTGTGAGCCAGACCCTGTGCCTGTGTTGCAGCAGGCTAGTGTATCTGACCCCAACAAGACAGGGCACCAAAGCTGGTAGGGAAAACAAGCTTATTAGAGTGACTGCAGCAAAGGAAGCCTAAACCTGTCACGCACGTGTACCCACATGAGGCACGTGTTATTGTTAAAATGTCCCCAGCTCCACTAAAACATAGTTTTGTGCATATTAGTAAGTGTAATTCATGGACTTTAAACCTGCAGGCTCTCATTGCTTAGGAGGATTCTCACCATTCCAGAACCCCATTGACTTCAAAGGGCTTCTGTGAAGGAAGGGGCAGCCCAAACTCATACATAAACGGAAAGACAGGAATGATAAAGTCAAAGCTCCATTGGATCTCACTTTGTGTTAAAGCTATTTAACAAACCTAGCTCATGGTTTTAAATATTAACACGCTTGCTCTTCTGGTGTGGAAATGTATATGGCAGTGTGAATAAATGATTAATTCAAAGTTTTCTGCTTCAATAAGATAGCACCAATTAGACATACCTTTGTGAGTCAGCACTATTATGTAGAATCGGAGTGCAAGTATTTATTGCTCTTTATTGCCTTGCATGTCATTTAAAAAGAGCTACCAAGAAGAGTGCATGTACAGAGATCTTAAAAGCCTGATTCAGGTGAACTGGAGAAATTCTTTATTTTAAAAGGTGGCAGTGGTGACATTCAAAGAAATTTCATTTTGGCAACTTCAAGATGGCAGCAAACTCAACCACAAATACTTCGCACTGTTCTGTAAATGCCACCATTTGCAAAGGCACTTCCTGTGTGTTACCTGATGACAATTTTAACCAAATTTTGAATTTAATTTTAAGTACTGTTCTAACAATCTTGCTGGCATTGGTGATGTTCTCCATGGGCTGCAATGTGGACATAAAAAAGTTTTGGGGACACATAAAAAGGCCCTGGGGCATATGTGTGGGCTTTCTCTGTCAGTTTGGAATTATGCCTTTGACAGGCTTTGTGCTGGCACTCCTCTTTAATGTGCTTCCTGCTCAAGCTGTTGCTGTGCTGATCATGGGATGCTGTCCAGGTGGAACATCTTCCAACATTCTAGCCTATTGGGTAGACGGTGACATGGACCTAAGGTAAGAGCATCATTTCTCTGGAGACTTACTTTTTTTTTAAAGTTACACTTCAACCTCTGTGGAGGAAGAAGGAAGGATGGGTTAGTGGCTAGTTAGCTTAGGGCTTGGGACATCCAGATTTCAATTTTCTGGCTGATTTTCTGTGTGACCCTAAGCAAATCACTTAGCCTTTCTGAATCTTAGTTCCCATTGGTAAAAACTAGGGTAATAATACTTCCCTCCCTGGTCGGGGTGTTGTGAAGATAAATACCTTAGTGACTGTGAAATGCTTTGGGATCTATTGATCTTTACTATTATTATGCATCTCTTCAGTTCTAAGCACAATGGGGCTCCAACCTGGTTGAGGCTTCTAGGAACTATTGCAATATCAATTTCACAGCAATTACCTTTATAAACAGGGGTCAATAATCAGCTGTAGTTCTAATGTCTCATTAAAGAAGTCACCTGTGGAAAATTATTTATCCACCTATGTGTTTTTCACAATGGCTAGACTTGGAAAGATTTTATCCAGACTCCAAATTCATTCATAACAATTCTGTATGCTTCTGGCACATGTGCCAAGTTTTCAAAGAGTGTTTTGTAGGATATAAGCCATAGCCTATTTACTGGTTGCAATGAAAAAACTTCTTTGTGAATGCAATGAGCTCAGTGACAGGTCACTTGGCTGCAATGTTAAGATGCTGTAGAGTCAGAAATTGTGTGTGTCGAGCAGCTGGCATGTTTGCGGACATCAAATGCATACTCGAGGTAAACACTGCTCTTGATGCAAATCCCAAGACACTTATTTTTTCCATCATTTCACTCTAACAGCCTATAAAAAAGTGCAATATTTTTTAAAAAGCCTGATTACCTTGTTCTAAAATAAACAGAAAATTCTCTCTACTTCCCACAGAGCAGCATAAATTACAGCATTTGTCCATTTCATCATATGCCAGCCTGAACTAGCAATGGAAAAACTAATAGAAGTAATATGATGGGAAACTAAGGTGCATAGATGAAGAATTTTAATAATTGCACACTTAATAAGACATTTTTCTACATTGAAAACAGAGAATTTCTTTGTGACATACAGGTGTCAATGTAATATTTAAGCAACTGTGCTAATTGCCCACTTTTTGCCTTGGAGAGAAGACCTAGAAATATTACACATTGCCAAGTGCTTTATTTCAGCATAGCACCGATCAGGTAAAACCAAAAAGGAAGGAAATTCAAAGGGGCTGGGGAGGAGGGAAGAGGCTGAAATTCTGTTCTGGTCTCAAACAGCAGAACTGTATATGTAGTGCCAAATCTTGCTCTGACTGCTACTGCAATGTAAATTCAGAAGAACTCCATTGAAGTCACTGGTATTATTCTGGATTGACACTGCTGTAAGTAAGCACAGGACCTGGTCTCTAATTTGAGGGAGGAAACTTCTATGACACTTGCAAAGTTAAAGATAAATGCCTACAAAGGACGCATTCTTCAAGGGGTAGCAGTGTTAGTCTGAATCTGCAAAAGCGGCGAGAAGTCCTGTGACACCTTATAGTCTAACCAAAGTGTTGGAGCATAAGCTTTCGTGGGCAAAGACCCACTTCGTCAGATGCATGCATCTGATGAAGTGGATCTTTGCCCATGAAAGCTTATGCTCCAACACTTCGGTTAGTATATAAGGTGCCACAGGACTCCTCACCACTTTTGCAGATTCAGACTAACACGGCTACTCCTCTGATATCAATCGCATGCCCCACACACATAAAACCAAAAAAACCATGGCATTGATTCATTCAAATTGTTAGCCCTGGGGCCAGGGGCCATTGACCAAGGCAGTTACAGGTCCTTTGTTGCAAGACATGTCCTCAGCTACCATAAAGGAGGACCATTGAAGTGACTGGTATTATTTTGGATTGACACTGCTGTAAGTAAGCACAAGACCTGGTCTCTAATTTGAGGGAGGAAACTTCTGTGACACTCGCAAGGTTTTTACGCAAGCAGCTTTTTGAGGAAGTGATCTTCTGCAAAAACGTCTTGCGCCAAAGCACGTCCATACCTCAAAAGCGCATCGCAAAAGTGATGTGCTTTTGTGCAAGAGAGCGTCCACACTGCATGGACACTCATGTGCAAGAAAGCTCTGTTTGCCATTAACAGAATGGCCATTAGAGTACCTGTGCATTTTTTCATAGGCTCTTTTTGCACAAGAAATCCCTGCAGAGTGTCCACCCATGCCTTTTTGCACAAGAGTTGTAGCACAAAAAGGAATTATTCCTCGTGGGGAGAGGAATAACTCTACCGGAAAAAGCCCTCTGTCCTGTCAATTTACTGTATTTTTTTTTTGCACAAAAACGTGTTTGAAGTGTGGACGCTCCGCCAGTTTTTGCGCAAAAACGGCCGCTTTTGCACAAAAACCTTGTAGGGTAGACATAGCCAGAGTGAATTTATGAGTTCCTCAGAAGGTCACCTTCATTATAGGATTATGATTGTTATTTATTTGTATTATAAATCCTAGGAGCCACAGTTATGAACCACGGCCACGTTGTGCTAGGTGATGTACAAACACCAAAAAAAGATGGGCCCCTACTCCAAAAAGCTAACAAAAATAAGGCAAGAGATAATGGAATAGTAAAGACAAAGGTGTACAAAGAAACAATGAGACAATGTGTCTGTCAGCACAATAGAACATAGTCTCACCACACAACATCCGGGGTATACCTACAGTAGGAAATAATTTCATAATAACCTATTTCAAAATAATAACTCCCAAAATAACTATTTCAAAATCATCATTATTCCTTGTGGAAAGCAGGAGTTATTATTTTGAAATAACCAGCCCTTATTTCAAAATAACAAGGTTGGTAGTGTGGATTCTCCACTTGTTATTTTGAAATAAGGGGAGTAAGCCAGGGACCAGCAACTTGTCAAGGGGATTTTTTAGGCATTAGGTAAAAGGAGTTTTAAGGGGGACTTTAATAGGGGATAATGAAGTAGCTTTATGGATGTTAACAGGGAGCATCTACCAAGCATGAGGGATAGGGAAATGACCATAACTGTATGAAACTTTTAGAAGTGGGCAACAGAGACTGTCATCATGGGCCAATCAGAGGCTGGAGTGAATGTGAGATAAGTAAAAGTGAGATAGGATCTTGAAAGTGAAGACAACCATCTTATGTTTGATGTGGATAGATGCAAGTATGCCATGGTCCAAGCTAGAGGCCAGGAAGATTATCTTCGGAGCAGCATTCTAAATGGATATAAACAGGACGAGTTTGCATTTGTCGAGACCAGAGAGAAAAATGTGGCAGTAATGGAAACCTAAGATGATGAAAATCTGGATGGGAGTTTTAGCTGCCTGGATGGATAAGAAAGGAAGGTATCATAGTGACATAAAGAAAAATAAATATTGCAGGGTCTGATATAGTCTGAATGAGAGGACCTAAGGAGACTTCAAAGATGATGCTGAGGTTACAAAACTGAGTGAGAGTCAGGAGAGTCAGTGTTGTCTGCAGTGACTGAGAAAGGTGATGGGTGGAAGACTGGAAGGGAAAGAAGCAGAGCTCTGTTTTAGCCATATTTATCTTGAGATGATGTCTAGAAATCCACAAGCTGTTGTCAGAGACACATGCCACAATAGTAGTTTGGACAACACAAGACAGATCTGAGGTAGAGATGCGAGTTGTCAGAACAAAGATATTAGCTGAATTGTGTTTGTGGATGGGATTACTTAGAGACAATGTACAGAGGGCAAAGAGAAGGAGAACAAGTATGGACCCCTGTGCATTCCCAACAGAGGATTGGAGAGAGGATAAAGAGGATTCTACAAAGAATATGCCAAAGGTACAATTAAAGAGCAAGGAAAATTAGGAGAAGACAGTCACAGAAGCCAAAGGAGGACAAGATTTCAAGAAGAACATGGCTGACTGCATCAAAAGGAGCTGATGCATCAAGGAATGGGGCTGGAATGCTTGTTCTTAGCTTTAGCTAGAAATAGGATTTTAGAGACTTCTGTGAGAATAGTTTCAGCTGAGTGCAAGGGATAGAAGCTAGACTGAAGAGGGTCAAAGAAGAAACTAGAGCAGAGCAATTCCAGCCAATGATCACAAACATTTTCAATTAGCTTAAGGAGGAAAAGAAGAATGAGATGAGGTGGTAGTTTAGGGTTTTTTTTTAAAGACGGGAAAGATTCAAGCATGCTTATATTGTGAGTAGAAAGAACAAGAGAAGAGAGAGATTAGAGAGAAAGGCAAAGCAGGGGATTAGACCCTGCATAAAGGAGGTCAGGAGATTGGATGACATCACTGGCCTCTCGTTCTACCTTACAGAGAAGAGTTGTCTGTGCCAAGAGGAGATTCTATTGTGGGGGGAGTTTGGGAAGCAGGGAAGGGACAGACTTTGATGGCCAGAAAGGAAAATGAACCCATATTATTCCCTATAACAAAGCCCAAGGTCTAAGTCTATTTTTACATGACATCTTTTTACATAAAATCCTCCAATTGGAGCCTCTGGGCAGCCAAGGAGATAAATTAAGGGCCAGTGAAAAGATAGGGCTTCCATGTTGATGGTGCTTGACTCTCATGGATCCCCCAGGTCTGGAAGAAGGCTCCATGGCCTATTCTGTTGGCATAATAAGGGGAGATTCAGATTTCCTTCCTAGAGTTTGCTTCCATGGTGGTTACCTCTGGAGAGGGAATTTAGAGCCAAGCCTTTATCTACAGATCCCATATTCCTGGGATTCTATTTGTTACCCACCAACCTTTCCCCTCTACATCTTCACCCCAAGGGAGGCCTTTTCAAAGAGATGTAACTACCAAATGACTGACTGCCATAAACAGGAAGAACTCCCAAAGCCTTCACATTAAAAAAACAAAGATCCATGAACAAATAAGGAAGCACTAATGCAAAACTTCACTATTCAACCACACTGCTTTTCAATGCACACATCCTTCATTCTTTGGCCTCGATCCTGCAATGTGATGAACCTAAATAGACCCCTGACACCTGAGTGAAGCACCAATAACTTCCTAGGGACTTTGGATCAAGCCCCAAGATTATGAAGTTTTGGTGGCAAAGACTTTGGATTGACCTCTGTCCTGTAAAGAACCAAAGGCACTATATTCTGTAAATTCCTATGAGTATCCCATGGACAGCAATTAGGTTTGAGAAATATGCCTGGGTACACAACATTAAGTGTTTTATATAGGGAGCTCTAGCAATACAAACAGGTGTGGGGTGTGGAGAGGTCATGGAAGTACACTAGGTGCATCTAAATGCAATTCTTTGCACACACTATTGATTGTGGACTCAGAAGCTGAGGTCCCGGATGCTAAAGTCTGTTTATGAAGTGTGGTGCACACCCTGGCAAATACCATATATACTCGAGTATAAGCCGACCCGAATATAAGCCGAGGCACCTAATTTTACCACAAAGAACTGGGAAAAAGTATTGACTCGAGTATAAGCCTAGGGTAGGAAATGAGGCAGCTACTGGTAAATGTAAAAAATGAAGATAGATACCAATAAAATTACATGAATATTTATTTCAAAGAAAAACAATAACCTAGCTCTGTAAGTGGAAAAGGGGGTCAACAAAAACAATATGGTATCAAAAATACCGTAACTTTAAAAGTACAACAACCTTAGCTCAATCAGCAACCAAGCTCAATCAGCTCCCCATAGCTCTTTTCCTCAGGTGTCCCGGCTTCCTAGCTGTTTTCGTGTTTTTAGCTGAGGGAAACTTGCAGATGGCAACTCCCTCTCCACATATACCATTCCCCCGACACAGAGGATAAAATATTTCCACAATCCCTGGGCAGATCCTGCTTTCCATAAGGATTTTATCCTTTCCATTCAGGCCCCTTACCTTATCTCTTCTCTTCAGCCTGCGCCGAGCCGCGCTTCTGCCTCCGGACCCGCCCCCTGCCCACAGCACAGTGACAAGCCAATCACTGGCAGTCACTGTGCAGCCAACAAGCCTATGTATGTGCGCTGTTCATCGCACATACATAGAGCTTTCAGACCTCAGAAATTGACACGAGATACTTTGATGATGAATTTACAGCGCAGTCCATAACAATAACACCTCCTGACAGATACGACAACCTGGATGCCTTAGAACCTGACCAGAGTACACACTTTCCTCAGTTCTCGAGACGCTGACTCGAGTATAAGCCGAGGGGGGCATTTTTCAGCACAAAAAATGTGCTGAAAAACTCGGCTTATACTCGAGTATATACGGTATTTTTAAACTTGTTTACCAGAAGCTGTATTGTCATAGTCTACTAAATAACAGGATAGTGTCCATTTTAATAATTAAAGATGGTACACCATTAGCAACTGAAGTGTGTCGCTCAGCTTTCACTGATTTTATGAAAGACCTTTCTGTTTTGTTTTCATATTTTCAGTATTTAAAGAAATGAAATTATAAAACAATGCCTCACATTCATATTAACCAGAAATAAATGATGCTTTAGAGGTGAGCTTATCCTTTGGGGTAACTTTTTTTTCTTTCATTTCTCTTGTTGCACCTGGATACTGAAGGGGTCAAGGGACAGGATCTGACGTATCATGTGGTATTACATGGTATAGCACAGGATACCTCACCAGGGCAGGCAGCATGGTGCCATGGTGATGACACTGAAGCTGATCTTAAAGAGTCTTGGGTTCTATTTCCATTTCTATAGCCTGCAGTTGGACCTTGGAGGTGGGGGAAATCACTTCGCTTCTCCGACTCCTTTCTGTAAAACTGGATGAATAAAACCTCCTTTATAAAGTGATTTGGGAGCTACTGCTGAATAGCTGTATATTATTACTAATGGCAAACAAGCTGCAATACCATCCGTAAGGAGCTAAATCAAGCTTCCCCAGATAAAAATAATTGGACATATGTTTTAAGATAAACAAAAGGAAAAAAAACAGGTTAGAAGCTTATAAAGAGCCAATTCCAGCACAGTACTCCAGCTAGATTCTGCAGTAACTTATATCGTGAGTAGTCTTATTGGTTTAAAGAATCTAAAGGTGGCGGAATCTGGACCAAAGATGGGGCTACATAAAGCTTATTAGGTCTCTCTGCTCCCATCACCTGCACATGTTTAATGCAGAATGAATCCCCATCAGATAATCTCCCAGTCAGTTAACCATATCCCTTACCTCAGTCTAAATCAGCATGAAATCGAGGGGTCTAGTTTCGACCTTATGTACAAATACTTGCACTAGCTTAAAGAGAGCCAGTGCAAAGATAAATAGCAGTATAGCTGTGGTAACATGGGCAGCAGCATTACAACTTCGCTATGTCACATATGTACCCACAGGGTTCAGGCATGTTTGTACTCAGCACAACTAAGCCATGTCACCCATGGTACTACTTCAGCTATCTCAACAAGAGCTAGCACAAGTGTGCATACACAAGCTGGGAATCATACCCCCATCTCATCGTAAGGGTTTAACCCTAAGATCCTACATTAACTTGAAATAGTTGACTTTTTTCCAGTATAACCTGGAACTTCAACATTAATTTTTTGGTGGATTAAATCTGTAGGATAAATTGATTGCAGACAGTAGCATTTCTTTCACCATTTTTCATAAGTCATTAAATTATAAGAAGAGAATAGGAGACTTCTTGGAGAACAGGTGGTGAACAGTAACCTTTGCCAATGTCCTTGCAGTATCAGTATGACAACATGTTCAACATTGCTTGCACTGGGGATGATGCCGCTTTGTCTCTTTGTGTATACCAAAATGTGGACAGAAACTGAATCCATCATAATTCCTTATGACAGTATAGGTGAGTCGAATCAATGTTTTCTCTCTCTCTCTCTCTCTCTCTCTCTCTCTCATTTCTTTCTCCTTTGGGTAGTAGTTATCTTTGTACAAGCAACCTGTAGTTCCTTCTGACAGAGACTAGGGTACTCTGCACCTCCCAGCATGGAGTCCACAGCCATTATAAAAACAGGACAGATAATTTACTATTGGGTAACAAATCTCTGCATTCTTTGTGGAAATGTTGTAAGGCTAGAGGGAAAACAAAGAGATAGAGATTTTTCCCTACCTTTGGATAAATATCTGCGCCATTTTTATAATGGCCATAGGGCACCAACCTGCAAAGTGCTGAGTGCTCTGGCCTTGATCAAGCAATACACGTAAGCACATGCACAGATGTAAATTGCCAACCTGAAACCCAAGGTAGTCAACGAGGGGCACCATAAGCAGTGAAACTTAATTTGACTCAGCAGAGGAAATTTCACAGGGCCAGATTTAAAAAGAATGACAGCTGAATGCTTGAGGTCAATAGGGCTACACTCACATTTAGAATTCAGCCCTTAACACCCACTGGTTTATGTTCGAGAAGCTGTTCCTCACACATCCAGGAGTGGCCCGAGGCCGGCTGTGACAGCTAGTGCCCCAGGTGGAAGGCACGGTCAGCCCCCCCGCCTGCACGGCCGTCAATGGCCATGATGTAATCACAGGGCACCCCAGAGTCCCGTGACGTCATCATCAGGCGCCCGGGCCAGCAACGCCCTAGGCAACTGCCTAGTTTGCCTAGGCTCACGGGCCGCCCCTGTACACACCAGCGTAGTCACGTTCGTATATTTAAATGTCAGTTCCAAAGAAGAGTCATGTAAACCATTTGCATCCTTAATATCAGTGCTGGGGAAAATGCCCACAACATAAGTTCTAACATGGTTGCTGCTATGGCACAGTAGAAACACCTGCAGGCAAAATACATGTTTACTTCTACAGTAAGTAAACAGTACACCACACTTATATTGCTAAAGTAGACCTCCAATAATCTGGCACCTTTGGGATCTAGCTGGTGCCAGATTATCGGATATGCCTGAGTATCGGGAGGTCCCAGTACAGCTGCATGGCTTAACAGCTGGCCGGGACCCAATCTCCCTCCCTCTCCTCTCTCCTTTCCCCTTAGCTGAAGCAAAACACTCCTCTCCATGCTCTAACCCGATCCCCCCCCAACCTTATGTTCGGTCTGGGTACAGCCAGCATGTGCGCTGAGCGGCTGGCTTTTTAATCAGCTGGATAGGAGCGCTTGACATTTTGATGCTGGAGTATCAGGAGTGCCAGACAATTGGGTGCCAGACTATTGGTGTTTTACTGTATATGCCTTTTTTATCTTCTGCCTGAGTGTCTATTTAATCACAATTACCTCAGAAGATTTCCAAAGATAGTATAATTCATACTCTTACACTTTACATTACTATGCATGTGTGGACACACGTGAGTATAAACTGACAAAGACCTCCTATTTAAACATCTCATCATTCAATATGTTTTCTATTAAATGTTATTTGTTCTTATTTTCAGGTATTTCATTGGTAGCCCTCGTAATTCCTGTTTCATTTGGAATATATGTTAATCACAGATGGCCCAAGAAAGCTAAATTTATACTTAAGGTAAGTTAAGAACATAAGAACATAAGAACGACCATACTGGGTCAGACCAAAGGTCCATCTAGCTCAGTATCCTGTCTGCTGACAGTGGCCAATACCAGATGCCCAGAGGGATGAATTACAACAGGTAATTCTCATGTGATCCCTTCTCTGTTACCCATTTCCAGACAGAGACTAGGGACACCATTCCTACCCATCCTGGCTAATAGCCATTAATGGACCTAACCCTCCATGAATCTACCTAGCTCTTTTTTGAACCCTGTTAAAGTCCTAAATGATATGAAGCCTTCACATACTGATTTGGACCATTATTCCTTATGGGCCAGGTTATGGTTTCAATATCTTTCTATTAGAAGATCAGTAACTAGCTCCATGATAGCAGCATGGTTCCCCATCTAACAAAAAGTTGCTCCATCCTGTACAAATAGTTGTGTGATTTCACATGTGATTTGTTGTTAATTTAAATGGATGATGGACTCTATCCTACAAGGTTCTCATTGCTTCTGAAAGATTCTGAGTTCTTTCAGCTTGCACTGATTATCATTAAGTACTATACATAATCTCTTATTAAAATAATCCTTTCTAGTCTTTAGTTATTCCCTTTAATATTTGTCATCCTTTCAGTGATATCATGTAATGTTTCTCTGTATGTCAAATTCATTTTCTTAACATATTCATATACTGTGTTGTATTTCAAAATTGATTCATAGCTTACTTATAAATTTGGACATAGTACATTTTGGGGCCAAAAGACTTGACAATTATGTATTAAAACTAGTTATTTCCTTTTTTAAAATAATCGAGAAGTTTAAACTTTCGGAAATATTTAAATTTTACACAAACAAAGAGAAGGTGTATACTAAATAGTATATATGCACAGTTTGCTTTGTGTAGGCCAATGATGGGTCAAGTAAAGGGCAAGGGCAAGGGCAAGCGCAAGATGAAGGAGGCATAACTGACAAGGTTAGGTTCAAATAGGGTGAAAAGGACTCAACTAGAATTTACTAAAATGCATTTATTAGAATGAAATCAAACTAGATTTGCATGACCAGACACTTTTCTCTTCCCTAGAATAATCTGGTTGCTATCTCAACCCAAACCAAAACAAGAATAATCACATGAAGTCACATTGTTCGTAGGCCTCGGCCAAAGTCCATTGAAATAAATATTTCCATTGAATTCAATAATAGCTGGGGCAGTCCCATAGTCTTAATAGTTGAATAATTAACCAGAGTCCAGAGTCAATCTGATAGAGGGTCAGACATCTGGGCTAGATGTTCTCCTCAGGAAGAGGTTTACCTTTTCTCTCTGCTAAATGGAGGAAGGGATTGCCACACAACCTATCACAAGGGCCCAAATTAAGTGTTCAGCTCTAAAAAAATAAGTAAAGAAAAAATGTTGTAAATACAAAACAGAAAATCAACAGAAAATTGTTCCTTTGGAGACTTGTTACAGTAAGAATTTAAAATTGTGTTAAAATGTTGACCCAAAGCATTTCTTAGTATCCCTGAACATAGTTATATGTTCCCATTACTTGTTTCAGCATATCTTGTGGTAATGGGGTTCACAAAGCCTATTAAGAGCATAGTCAGAAAGGAGAGCAGAGTCTTCCTCACTTATAGGAAACCAAGATTCCATATGCAGCACAGCTGCCAGATATACTCATCATCGAAGCTTGCATCCACAGCTGGGAAAACAAGCATAGCTATAAGGGAGCAGACAAGAGAGAGACAGGGAGAGAAGCAGAAAGGCCTAGGATGGTAAAGGGATAACTGTCCCATCCAAGAGCAATTCTACATTCTGGCACTACACAGCTGTGCCACTGTAGTGCAGCTGATGAAGATGTGCCATGCCAATGGGAGAGCATAATTACTCCACTTCTGCAGGAGATCAAAACTATGTCCTCAGGAGTCAGTCTCCTGCTGACATAATGAGGTGTCGATTGCACATAAATCAAAGTAACTTACGTCACTCCAGGAGGGTGTCTTTTTTCACAACCCTGAGCGATGCAAGTTACATTAATGTATGTGGTAGTGTAGACTGGCAGTAAGAAATTGACAGGGAAACAAAGGAAGACTGCAAGCCCTGGAGTTTAAGGGCTGCTACCTTCATGCCAGTTAAACTGATGAATCCGGCTACTTTTACATGAATAGAGGCAGACCAGTTAGAAGAAAGCTGGGACCTCCAGAGAGTCTGGTCCCAGAACAATGGATACTTGGCTTTTTGAAGTACTTGTCTTTCACCCTATCCAATACAGCTTTTATGAACCTTTAATGTAAACCCTAAATTTTACATTTTTGAAAAGATACTTTGATGTGATAAGAAATAAATGTTTGTGCATGATTAAATCGTGGCTGATCTTGATTTAACTGAGGTTTCTTTTTTAAAACCCCTGTTTTATCCCTTCAGGCTGGTTCCATTACTGGTCTAGCTCTTATAGTGATCATAGCAGTGGTTGGAGGAATATTGTACAACGGATCCTGGATTATCACCCCTCAACTGTGGATCATTGGAACCATATTTCCAGCTGCTGGCTACTCTCTAGGTTTTCTTCTGGCTCGCATAGCTGGTCAGCCTTGGCACAGGTAGAGACTGTTTTGTAACACTCTATGTAATCTTATTCCAGCCATACAAGAAAATTGGCCTATTTCTATTTGATGACTAACCAGTGATTGGCTTTTAAGAATAGTTATTTTACAGCATCACAGCCCTCACCTTTGAGTGTACATCAAAGTGAAACTTTGTTCTGAACACTTTTAGTTATAGTTTCTGGCTAGTCTCTGGGTCCAGAAAGTCTTCCTCAGAGTGGTTGGGAATACAGCAGAGTTCCCTAGGAAATGCCCAATATCTGTACACCTGATATTTTAGTGAACTGTTTTTTCCCCCATTTGCAGCTTCCTTTCTCCTTTACAATAGAGGTCATAGCACTGTGACTAACCTTCAGCTGAAAGAGCTCTGATGCATCCAAAGATTGATAATCACGAATCACCACTGCATATCAAACCCCTACACACATGCATGTACATTCTTACATTGCCTTCAAACAGCTCCTCTGTCAGCAAAGAGAATGGCCCTGAGATTCTAAATTATCTCTCCTGTTTCACAGGACAGAGCACTATTACAGGGTCCAGTGATAACCAAAATAGAATAATAGAAGTGTAGAACTGGAAGGGACTTTGAGAGGTCCTCTAGTCCTGTGCCCCTGCATTCAGGCAAAACTAAGTATATCTAGACTTTTTCTGGTGGGTGTTTGGAGGTTTTAAAGATCAGGTTGGTCAATAACAGAGATTGCATAACCTCCCTGGGAAGCCTAGTCCAGAGTTTAATTATCCTTGTAGATATACAGTTTCCTAATACATAATCTAAATCTCCTTTGCTGCAAATTAAGCCCATTACTCATTGTTCTACCTTCTGGGGACATGGAGAACAATTGATCACCACCCTCCTTGAAAAAGTCCTTAGCATGTTTGAAGCCTGGGGGAAGGACTGATAACAGACTAAACATGACCAGGTTTTTTTTTTAAAACCTTTTCTCACAGTTTCAGGTTTTCTAAATCATTTTTGGTTTTTGTAGCTCTCCTCTTGACTGTCTCCAGTTTGTTCACATCTTTCCTAAACTGCAATTGAGAAATGGACACAATATTCTAGCTGAGGCCACACCAGTGCTGAGTAGAGTGGGACAATTATCTCTAGCCTTTTTCACATTGTTGACCCAGACTCAATTTGTGGACTGCTCTACTCATAAATACACAGGTCCACATCCTTTTCAACAGTGCTACCACACAGCCTGTTAATCCCAATTTTGTAGTTGTGCACTTGACTTTTTCAAAGCATAATGATTCACAGTTTTCTTAACCTAATTTCATCTTGTGGATGTCAGACCATTTATCTAGTTTTGTTGAGATAATTTTTAGTTCTAGCAACTTCTCCCAGCCTGGTGTCATCTACAAATTTTATAAGCACACTCTACTCCATTATCCAGGTCAATTATTGAAAATATTGACTAGTACTGGACCCAGGACTGACCCCAATTGTTCCCTACTATATAAATTCTCTAAATTTGATTGCAAATCATAACTATCCCTTTAATCTGGTCAACCATATAGTGTTTCATTCACCTTGTTATAATTTCTTCCAAGCCACATTTCCATAAATTCCTTATGGGAATGCCAGGAGGGACTGCATCCAAAAGCCTTACTAAAAATCAAGATATTATTTCTACAGTTTCCCCTCCACCCACAAAGTTAGTAACCTTGTCAAAGAAGAAAATTAGGTTGGTTTGGCATGATTTGTTCTTGAAAACTCCACATTGGCTATTCCTTGTAACCCTGTTATCCTCTAGCCCAGCTGTGGGCAATAACCAGCCTGCAGGCCAAACGCAGTTCACCAGAATTAGCCCCTAGTGAGCCGCCACCATTTTATTTATCTGCGCCTCTACAGGTAAATAAATCACTCACTAGGATCATGATTTATTTACCTGTAAAGGATGGATGTTCCTGGCCAAAGGGGAGGTGCAAAAAGTGGTATCCTAGTCCATGATGTTTCCTGCAGCTCCCATTGGCCAGGAACAGTGATGCACAGCCAGCAGAAGCTGCAACCATCTGTACCTGCAGAGGCCCAGATAAATAAAGCAACCACAACCTGTCAGAGACTAAAATTGGCGATCCACCTCTGGCTTATTACCCACCCCTGCTGTAGGAACTTACACGGTGATTGTTTAATAATTTCTTTAGTATCTTTTCAGGTATCAAACTTAGACTGTGTATAATTACCTGCATCCTCTTTGTTCCTCTTTTTAAAGATAGCTTCCTCCATCTCCATACCTCTGAGAACTCATGGAAGACATGTGATGTCCCCAAGATTATTATTAATGGTTTTGAAATTGCCTCAGCTAGTTCCTTAGATACCCTGAGATGAATTTAATCGGACCCCATTGACTTGAATACATTTAACTTATTTAGTGATAGAAATGTAGCCGTGTTAGTCTGGTGTATCTGAATCAAAAAACAGGACTATGTAGCACTTTAAAGACTAACAAGATGGTTTATTAGGTGGTTTATTAATATCATTGATACCCACTTCCTCAGATCAAATAGTGGAAGAAAATTGTCAACCATATATACCAAAGGATACAATTAAAAAAAATGAACACATATGAAAAGGAGAAATCAAATTTCAGAACAGAAGAGGGATGGGGGGGGGGGGGGGAGGGGTCTGTGAGCTAATGATATTAGAGGGGATAATTGTCTCAACAACTTGATTACCTGCATTCTGCTTCAAAGGCCTTTTAAGACTACACTTGAAAGAGAATCCTCTGAACTGTCATTCATGCTTAAATTCGACACTTCCTTCCCTGCCTTTTGATGTAAATATTAATTTTTTGTGCATCTGCCCAGAATTAGCCTTTTTAGCAAAGACAAAACAACATAGGTATTAAACATCTTACTCTTCTTGATATTATTAATGTTTTCCCCTGCTAAGTACAGGATTTAAGCTTTCCTTCATCTTTTTCTGGCTCCTCTTCTTGTTGTCTTTTATGTCCCTTGCTAGGTATAACTCATTCTGTGCCTTAGCTTCTCTAATTGTTTCTACATGCTCGTGCTATTCTTTTGTATGCATCCTTAGATATTTATCTGTGTTTCCACTTTTTGTAGGTTATAACTTTGCTGGACAGTATATCAATTCTCATCACACTTGTGGCTTTGTCATATACTGTTCCACTACTCTGCTAAGCCATTTGCAAACAAGTTTAATATGTTATAAATTGTGGGTCACAAATAACATTATCCAAAGTCCATGAACTCCATAGACAGCTGTGCACTGACTTTGAGAGGCATACAATCATACCATGAATTCACTGAACAATTTTCCAAGAGTAGTTAATGAGATATAATCAGTTGAAAGAAGCTAAGAAAATCCTGCATTTCTACAAAGGTCTGTGAAATGAGTCCTTTTCAATGCATACATTTCATTGAGTTGTGGGACTAGATTATGTGAACAAGATGGTTCGTTTCTTCCCTGACATCTAAAACATATGTGATTGTATGTCTCTTTCATTCATTTGTATTCTGTCAAAGTACATTGGCACAATGAGATACTATAGGATTTTTTTTCTTTTTATCGTTCCCTTTAGATGTCGTACAGTAGCTCTGGAAACAGGTATGCAGAACACTCAACTGTGTACGACTATAGTGCAGCTCTCCTTCACCCCTGAGCAGCTGGCATTGATGTTCACTTTTCCACTCATCTACAGTATTTTCCAGCTAGTATTTGCTGTAATATTTGTAGGAGGTAAGTCACAGATACCTTCTCCTTTACTAATACACTTATCATTAATAATGCTCTTTACATTTATTCCTGGGTGCCCAGTGAAAAAGAGACAATTTCAAATACAAAAATACAATCCAAATAATAAGTCTCCATTGTGCTAGTCACTATACAGAAGATAGCAGACATGGATTTCAGTTCTGTATTCTGTCCGGGCCTTTTATTCCATCACAAATGGAACATCTAGAACTGGCCAGTTGGGAATACCCCCAACTCAAGAGCATCTCCTGGAAGGCATACCAAGGATATAACCAGGGTAGAAAGGAGGTGCTTTAGCACAGAGCAGATGTAACTGGATTCTGAGCAGTTGCAGCAGCCAATACAAGACCAGAGCAGCATAAATTATAGCTGCCCCCTGCTGCTGCTATTTTCTACTTAGAGAACAAAAGATGTTTTGTTCTCACTGAACTGAGACTCAAATGACCTACATTCAGTTTCTGGCTCACCCACAGACTGAGTGTGACCTTGGCACATCACCTCATCTACTCTGTGCCTCATTTTCCCAGATGTGAAATGGGAATAATTCTTCATAGGGATATTGTAAGGATAAAAACCATTAGCGATTGTAGAGGTACACAGACACTGTGGGGATAACAGGCATAAATAGATATGTCAGAAGCTAAAGAAAGAGCCTCATCCTTATTCCTACCTTTTTACACCACTTATGTGGGCAAGAGCACCATATAGGGAGCCTAGAACGTGGAGATAGTGTGACCTTAGGGATAGCAAACTAGCCTGGGAGTCAGACACTCTGGGCTCTACTCCCAGTTTTGGTAGTGGTCTGCTTCTCTCAAGTCACATCACAGCTCTGTGCTCCATTTTCCTTATCTGTAAAATGGTGATAAAGAGACGTCTCTCCCTTTAAAGCAGCTTGAGAGCTAATGATGCAATAAACCAGACAGATGGTGTTGGTATTAGTTTCATTGTAAGTTCCAGTTCTGTCCAGTGGAAGATATCTCCAACCTAGACCTCATGAAAAACAGCCATAAGGCTTCTTCCTCCATAACAGCTCATAACACTGCACTGCAGAGATTCCAGGCCAAGCTGTAGCCTACAAGTCAGCCTAGGTAACCTGTCATAAATTAGCCTGCCAAGCCCCTCCAAATTTTGCCAAGAACCCCTCCAGTTTTGTCCTGGGTGATTGTAAGGACAGAAGGGTGACCATGCCACCTTAGCCATTGCCCCTGTCCACTGCAAGTTCTATTCTACACTCTAAATAGGCACAGAATCTCAAGAGGTACAAGCTGTAGCCTACAAGTCAGCCTAGGTAACCTGTCATAAATTAGCCTGCCAAGCCCCTCCAAATTTTGCCAAGAACCCCTCCAGTTTTGTCCTGGGTGATTGTAAGGACAGAAGGGTGACCATGCCACCTTAGCCATTGCCCCTGTCCACTGCAAGTTCTATTCTACACTCTAAATAGGCACAGAATCTCAAGAGGTACAC